GATACTATCTAGGAAAGAGTAGTCAGGATGTGGTTAGCTTAACAGGAATTAGCAACAATGCACAGGGTGACTATCTGTGACAAATCTGGGACTTCTACAATAAAAATGTCACACGAGACATCACTTACGAATTATACTGAAGAATCAAATGACTGGCTGAAAGTTGTTAAATGTGCCTTGAAGGTGTTGGCATTTTTAGTATACTGAAAAGGTGACGCTCGTCAACTTAGGGACTTTATAACTGGAGGCTTCGTCGTTACTGACTGAAAACAAACTCACCGGCTATGTTTTTGTTTATTCACTTAATCAACACCTATTTATTTGTTGGTGTGTAACTGGCACTGTGATAGGACCAGAGATGGTCCTCACCCTTATACAGCTTACATTGTGATGGATTCCCAAGTCCCAATAAGCATGAGAGAAAGTTGGAGGCTTTATCTTCTCTATGGCTCTTTGGGATCTGTGACGTCAAAGCAGTTGGTGGCTAGGCTGTATTTTGGTAGACATGGAGTACTTCCAAGCCAACATCACAGTAAACGTGAGCAGAGTATCCATTTTGTTAGCCCAGCCAGAGGGCAGGAATTAAAGGTAACTTTCAGAGCTGTTTACCCCTTTTATTTCCCCATCCTCAAATTAATCTCATTGGATCATAAGTTTGGTGAGGGGGAAGATCGAATCTCTCTTCCCAACCTTCTTTAATCATTGTTTGCTTTAAGAGACAACATAGGAACACACATTGTCAAAAAAAATTATGTCTAGACTAATGCAATTCACTATCTGGTTTGTTTGTTTTTTGACATCTGACAGGATTTTCCAACCTACTTTTGAGATCTATTAGCACTTACTATGAACTAATGGCCTACACAGAATTCATTAAAGGAGTCCAAATAATTCCAGGGTGTCGATGATAATACAAAAGCTCTGCATGCTATAGCCCTCAAGATGTTTTTCATGCAGAAGTAAATTTTATAAATAATAAAAAGAGGTGTGGTCCAAAGAATGGAAGCCATAATGGAATATTTGCCAGAGAAAGTAGTGGAAAATTTCCTTTTCGTTTTTCCTCTCTGTCAGCTTATATATACGTTTGAGGTCCCACAGCGGATCCAATCAGCCCAAGAATACTGTCCCTTAATTCACTTCTGCAAATGCAGCACCACATACCCTTCAGAGGGAGATTTCTTGAATCCACATGTCAATGAATTGTACCTCTTTTTAAAGGATATGTATGTTTAAATCTCCTTTTTGTGTAGTTCCTAAGAAATTTTGTTTGTAATGGAGTTCATTTATAAAACATTTGGAACTTTTATTTTCTGATGATTAAATAACAACATTTTTTTAGAACTTGAGTTGCCCTTCACATATACACACTCATACATAGATATTCATACATATATATGCGAGTGCATTTTAATGGTTAAAGCTTGTGTCTATTTTTTAAAGACTGGGTATTCTACATACTGGATTCTTCAGAGTCACTGTAATATGGAAACTTGATAATAATGGATAAGACAAGGTATGAGTTCAGTGAAAAAATACCTGATTACACATGATTTAGCTATACATCTAATGGTCATTAATCACAAATTTTAAATTAAGGTTCCCAAGTGAGATACATCTATCAAAAGTATTTAGCAAATCACTCCCATATGAGTGAAAAATGAACAATTTTCAGAGTTAATGCAAGATGCATTAACTAGTGAGTGTATCACCTGAATTAACCACAGACTTTCTGGAAATGTAATAATGAGTATTGTATTCAAAGACATTTCCTCAAAACATAAAGAGTATAGAGTGGGGTTGTTCTGAAATTCTATGCGTTATGGCTTGATTTGGTTATGGCTTAAAGTAGAGCAGCAAATATTGTAGCCTTTTCTAGTTCTCAGTAAAAATGAACTTCTTCTACATTTTACAGGTACTCTTTCTCCATTGTTCTCAGTTCTTCTTTGGATAGCAGTTGCGATCTGCACATCTATGCTGTTTTTCTTCTCCAAGCCTGTGGGTATTCGGCCATTTCTTGTGTCAATAATGCTCAGATCAATATACACAATAGGTCTTGGGCCTACATTAATACTTCTTGGTGCAGCTAATGTAAGTACTTAGCTTTGTATTGTTATGGAATTAGTTAAAAGCATATTAAATATTAAAAAGTAACTATATGCTTTGATTCATGTATGCACAGTGAATTCTAATTTACTATTAACCTAAATTAACCAGAGTATAATTTGTATGTTCTTTGCTTAATTTCGAGAGAAAGAAAAAAATGACAAGTAAAAAGTTGATATATTTAAGGAGGTAGCATTTGGGCCATGACCCAGTTCTGCCATCAATTTCATCCAATTCAGTGTTGATGCCTTCTGCATCCTGTACTCATAGCTATTGAAAAAAATGACTCTGAGCCACTGTTAACATCTTAAAGTGACTTCTAAATCATCCAAGAAAGATTAGATTGTATGCAGTATAATTTTAGAAGTGAGTGTCTTTTATCAAATGGACTAAGAAAAGAGGATGCTGTATGAGAAAATATGAAATTGGGCTATTTTTATGCCAACGAATTCTATAAACTTGTGAAAAATGTAAATGAGATTATTATTTTTTTCAACAAATTCTGAAATATTAGAAATATTAGAGTTAGGTAAGTTTAGAATAAGGAAGCCAGACTACCATTTTGAAAAGCAAGTAATACATTTATGGAAATAATTTTAACTGAAAAATGAAATTTTAAAGGGACTAGCCAACTTTATGCATGGCAGAATCGTAAAGGGATATTAAGAAAAGGTAAATCATCAGGTTGATGGAATAACAAATGGCCAGGTAAGCAAATAAATATTGTTAATACATCTGCTGAATATTTAAAGCACTCTTTATATCTTTTACTGGGTTTCTAACATAGTGTCCTATGTTCTGGTATCTACAGTTAGGACTTATTATCTCTCCTACTATATTATACAGTTATTAAGAAGAATGATTGAACATTCAATGTCTGGAACATCATAGGTGCTCAATAAATGTTTCTTAAATAAGTGAGTGAAAGAATGAGTAAATGATTATCTCTGTATTCTTATATACTTACAGTGCCTTACATAAAATATGTGGCAAATATTTATTGAAAATGAACAAATAAAATAGTCAACCAAACTTTTGAGAATTATAAAGCTGAACTTATATAGTCAATTCTGTGTTTTGTGTTTCTAACCTCTATTTTATTATAATTCTTCAAAACTTGGACATGATAAATCTGACAGCTTCCAGTTAACTAGGACATTCAGTCAACCAAATTACCAATTATTCTCAGTCATTGTCAATAAAGGGAAATGTACAATACAAAGAAGTCTATCAGTGAAGAATTTTGTAAAGTCCCAAATATATAGTATTTTATAAGCTTCTTGACAGCAGAGATTGTCACATTCATATATATAATTTTACCTTCCTTACTCTCTATACAATACAAAGAAGTCTATCAGTGAAGAATTTTGTAAAGTCCCAAATATATAGTATTTTGTAAGCTTCTTGACAGCAGAGATTGTCACATTCATATATATAATTTTACCTTCCTTACTCTCTCCCAACTCCATTTTTTTCCACCTTAATACCTGGAATTTAAACATTAAAAATTTGTTTATGTCAACTTAACTTGTACTTTCAGTGTTTTGGAAAAAAGCTAATTTTGCAGTATTATCCACTGAGCTAATTAGAGAATCTTCATGAATTTGTCTAAATTTTTCTAAACCTATATATGTTTGGCTTATTTTTAAAAAAATTTTTTTATAAAGTATGTTGAATATTGAGCCATATTATTTGGAGAAGCAAATAACGTTCATAAATTGGTAATTGGCCCTCAATAAGACATTAATCCAAGTGAGAGAATCTAAGTTTGATAAAGTGAAATAATAGCTACATAGAGTTTGGCCTAAAACAATAAACATTTACTGGGCCTCTGTTATATAATAGACATTGAAATACCAAGAGGTAGAGGATATGGTTCTTGCCACCCAGAAATTTATGTGTCATATTCACTGAGTCACATTTTCTGTGTCTTTGGACCGAGGATATACAAGGAGATAAGAAATCACATTCTAATGTCTATATAGAGAACAGAAAAAACATTTGGGGTATTTTTATCCTCCCTCATGGAACAGGTTAAAAAGATAAATTCTGCCTGGCTTAGTGAGAATAATTTTACCATAACAAATAACTATTCATGTGAAAGACAGGTTTTATACTTTAATTTCTTTGTGACAAGGAATATACATGCAGATATATCTATCTTATTCACTATATGAACCTGTAGGTACTCTAAAAGCCTTTGCAGCATAGCACATCTGTTTGCACCACCAAGTGATACAGTATGTTCTCCCAGCCTAGGACGTTTTGACCAAAGAAAATAATCAACCTGGATTTGAGACAAATTCAATGGAATAATTATAATTTTGATATTGTAGATATAGGTAGAAAAGTTTTTGTCTATAATTTTAATTTTAAATGATTCAGTAAAAATGTTTTACCAATTGATCATCTACCTTAATTTTTAACATAACAATTTGATTACAAAACTATCATAACCTGGCAAGCAGGGAAAAAAATAAATAAATGAAAACATAAATCAGTCATGTTTTGTACCTTAGATTTTAAAATATTTATTTCCTTAATTTACACTTAAAAGTTTGCATTGTGTAACAGATGAAGCTATAAGTACTAAGAATATAGTTTTCAGAAACAGGAAAAACAAAAGAAGACATCTATCTAACAGTTTAGCCTTAAGGAGAATCAGAATTTTAGACTTTAGGCAAATCAGCAAGCCTTTGAATTTCATTCTTCTCTTCAGTGAAAGGAGGATATTAAAGCCTAGACCACCCTCACTGGGTTGTTGAAAAGATCAGTTGAGAAGATTAGTGTGGAAATTTTAGAAAAAACAATAACAGTGATAATGATACAGGAGTATCATCTACCATTTACCAATATCTAATATGTGAAGCACTATGTAACTGTAAAACATTACTGTTATGATCATAAAAGTGTTTGTATTCTGGTTCACAGGAAGTTATTTGTTTCTGGTCTGTTTTACAATGTTAAGCAAATGCAGAAAGTCCCTTCTTTGGGGAAAGGAATCAAGGGGGAGGAAAAACTTCAATCTGTGTTCTGAAGCACTTGGTGAGATCAGTTTCTGTTTATTATACTGCTTCATTTTTATCTTCTTCATTCATTTCTAAAAATTGAAGTTTTTAGCAGAACCACATGGCTCTACGTAGCCCCCTCACCCTGCCGCCTTGAACCCGGGGTGGGGGAGCTCCAGGCCCCACCCTGGTGCCCTGAACCGGCACCTCACAGGTGAGCCTGCCAGCGCCAGCCAGCCAGCAGAACTGCACGGCTCCATGTGACCCTTCATCCCGCCTCAGACCCAGGGTGGAGCACCATAAAAAAAAGAGTGTAGCAGAACTTCTAGAAATGAAAGACTCACTCAATGAAATAAAAAACACGACTGAGAGCTTGAGCAGCAGGTTACAGCAAGCAGAAGAAAGAATTTCAGAGCTTGAAGATGGTCTTTTTGAAATAACTCAGGCAGACAAAAAAAAAAAAGAAAAAAGAATTAAAAATAATGAGGAAAACCTAAGAGAGATAGCAGACAACCTCAAGTGCCCTAACATCGAATTGTGGGTATTCCTGAAGGGCAGGAGAAGGGAAAAGATATTGAAAACCTACTCAAGGAAATAGTAACAGAAAACTTCCCAGGTGTATGGTACAGACCTTCAGATCCAGGAAGCTCAAAGGTCCCCAAACAGATTCAACCCAAAAAGATCCTCCCCAAGACATATTATAGTTAAATTCACAAAGCTCAAAGACAAAGAGAGAATTCTACAAGCAGCAAGAGAAAAGCATCAGATCACTTATAGGGGAACCCCCATCAAACTAACAGCAGACTTCTCAACCGAAACCCTACAGGCCAGAAGAAAGTGGAATGATATATTCAAAATACTTAAAGAAAAAAACTGCCAGCCAAGAATTCTTTACCCAGCAAGCCTCTCCTTCAGAAATGAGGGAGAAATAGTGTATTTCCCAGACAAACAAAAGTTGTGGGAGTTCACCACCACACAACCAGCCCTGCAAGAAATTCTCAAGGGAGTCATTCATCTGGAATCTGAATAATGGTGACCATGATAATGAATACACAAGAAAGAGCAAAACCCACAGTTAAAACAAAATGCCAGCAAGAAAGAGAAAGAAGCTAAATCATTCCACCTTAAGTTCCCAACTCACATTGAAGAAGAGAAATAAAAGGGGAAATAATGATTAAAAGATATTTATACCACCTAAACAAGTAGCAATTAAATGACAGGAATTAAATAACACTTCTCAATAACTGCTCTAAATGTGAATGGACTAAACTCCCCATTCAAAAGACACAGACTAACTGACTGGATTAAAAAGCTAGACCCAAGTATATGCTGTCTTCAAGAGACCCACCTCACCTGTAAAGACACTCATAGATTAAAAGTAAAGGGATGGAAAATGATATACCATGCAAATGGAAACCAAAAATGAGCAGGAGTAGCCATTCTTATATTGAACAAAATAGACTTCAAACCAAAAAACATTTTAAAAGACAAAGAAGGCCATTATATAATGATAAAGGGAACTATCCAGCTAGAAGACATAACAATCATAAACATGTCTGCATGCAATACCGGAGCACCCAGATATACCAAGCAAACACTCTTAGACCTGAAGAAGGAGATAGGACCTACATTAATGAATACATTAATAGTGGGTGATCTGAACACCCCTCTTTCAGTATGGGAGAGGACTTCCAGGCAACAATTCAACAAAGAAACACAGGATTTAATCTACACCCTAGACCAACTGGACGTGACAGATATATACAGAACATTTCACCCAACAGCTAAAGAATACACTTTCTTCTCATCAGCTCACCATATATTCTCTAGGATAGACCACATATTAGGTCACAAATCTAGTCTCAGAAAATTTAAAAAAACTGAAATCATCCCAACAATTTTTTCATACCATAGTGGACTGAAACTGGAGATAAACAATAATCAAATCACTGGAATTTTTACAAACCTATATGACCT